TTAAAAAAAAAAAGATAAATAGAAAAGAATATATGTCTCTCCTTTGCCTACATGTTATTGTAAGATGAGTGGTTTCACCATTGCTTAAACAATGTTTGTGCTGCAGGAGAAGTAAAATCTTGTGGCCCTCCGCCTCCCCTCCCCAATGGGGCAGCTAAGCAGAGAGAGAAAGAAGAGTATGAGCATGGTGAAGTGGTGGAATATGACTGCACACCTCGGTTCCTAATGAAGGGGGCTCAGAAAATTCAGTGTGTGGATGGAGATTGGACAACTCTGCCTACTTGTGTTGGTAATGTACACACAGCATGAACATGTAAATGCGAATATCCAATTTTATATTAATATTCATGTAAGACAAATACTGCTTTCAATTAAAGTTATTGTGCCACGTTTCATAGAGGAGCAGCGCACATGTGAAAACATACCAACACTTGAGCATGGCTATGACTTGCCCTCTGACCCTCCCTATCACCACGGATATTCAGTGAAATTCAAGTGCTCAGAAACATTTTCCATGGTTGGAGACGCATCAGTCACATGTGATCGTGGAAAGTGGACTCAGCTTCCTCAGTGCATTGGTGAGAACATAGTTTTCAAATTGTTATTTAATGTTATTTAAAAGAGTTACTCTAAAATTGTATAGAGAGACTCAGCTGAAAAATGCCAGGCCTTATGGTATAAAAATCAAATCATTTCTTTCTTATAGCACAATCTACAGGGCATATAGACATATCTAAAGGGCAAAATATACAAACTTGGAACAAATTATTATGATTATTATACCAATGTGGTGTATTTCTCTAAGCGTGAAGCAAGATTTACTTATAAATTGGCATATGACATAAAATAAGAGTCAAAAGAACAGTTAAAATGGAAGTATTTTGCATAACTGCCGGTATTGTGATCATCAACCTCATTCCATCAGTTCCTGGAAAACGAACCCATCGAGATGAGAAGATACCCGTTTTGCTCCTCTTGCCTCTCTCAACCCTCTGACAACGTGCATTTCTCGGTCTGTTTCAAATGCAGCCGGAGGCAGAGAGAGCTCTGCAGAGTGGGTGGCCCCAGACCCCTGCTCAGTCAGTGTGTAACTTCGGAGATTGCCTTCATGAGGACTTTCGCCAGGAAAGTGGCCATTTGGGCTTCAATGTGCCCATGATTCATGCTGACCTGCTAAGACCACTGGGAGGATGAGGGTCCTGATTCATTTTTCCTTCAACGGAGTTTTGTATAAACTTTACTTGATTCTTACATTCAGTTTTCTGGATACACTAGATCAGTGGTTCTCAACCTGTGGATCCCGACCCCTTTGGAGGTCGAACGATCCTTTCACAGGGGTCGCCTGAAACATAACAGTAGC